GTTTTTCTCTTCCTCACACTTGGTTTTTCTTCTATCCTTCGGCAGCTACTAGTTTTTCCAAAATGTTTGTCATTCCCTCTCTTTCTCTATATATATGTGTCTTCCATTTCCTTGCATTAAATAGGTCTATATGTGTCTTGAATTAATTAGGCAAAGTGTAAAGTAATTTGGTGAGTCATGGTGAAGGTGGCGGGTTTGTGTGCAAGTTGGGTGAGTTGAGTCTCTTGCATTTAATAAAATGGCTTAGGTGTCCTAACTAAGGGATTAGACTAATTAAACACCTTAATTAACTTAGCTTCAAGTAATTAACATATTTTCTTTATAGATTTTCATAAATTCCTCCTCTAAACTCAAAAATTCCCTTCCTTTCCATTATGATATTTCCAAGAAAAATATTCCTACATTCCCAAAATGTTATACACACCCCTATTTTTCTTGTATAATATGTCCCAAGTACTTAATATATAATGAGTGATAATTAATTAATTTGTTTGAAACTTCATCGCAAAATTCTCACATAAGTGCCCTAAAATTTTCACATGAGTACTAATTAACCATCATCACCAAATAGTTAAAATGACACCTGCAATTATACTCGTATTTAATGTATATTTACGTGAATATTAGTCCTTAAAGATTTTCGTGGGGATTACGTTTCTCATTCAATTGTCACACTCAAACTTTATTTGTGTTACATTTTAGTCCTTGACAACTTGGAGGGGGAGAGGGGGAGAGAGAATGAGGCCTATTCAAGCCACCTTGACCATTAAACTTACCATTAATTTATTCATTTTGAAGAGTAGAATCTGTTTATGGTAGTAACAAGTTATAAAATTATAGGAGGAGGTAGATAAGAAGCTCGAAATATTTTAAGTTTTTTATATTATAATTTGAATTTTGTGTGTTTAGTGCATGTTATAAAAGATTTTGAGATTTTAAACAAGTTTATTTATGTTGTTTCTATAATTTTAAGGCATTTTTGGACAAAAATGGGGCTGAATTTGTTTTTTGGAGGCCAAAATTTATGAAACCCGACTTTTCAATGAGTTTTCTAATGAAATAAAATTTGTTAGAAATTGCATCGGCTCTCTCTCTCTCTCTCTCTTTTCTTTTTTGTTGATTCTGGGAGTAAGCTCGGTCCTCCAAGCCCAAACGCATTGGCCCATGCCTATAGTTTTTTTTTTTAATTTGTTTATATTAAAGATTTTTTTAAAAAAATAAAAATATAGTTTAAAATCTTTATTTACCTCTATTTATTTAATTTGTTTATTTTTAAATTTTTAAATGATTCATTATCTATTAATTTTTGTACAAGTTCATACATTCATTGTAGCTTTATTTTTTATAATTTTATGAAAAGTATATTTTTAATGCATTTTCTAGAATTTTGAATTAAAATTTCTATTTAGACTATTATAAATTTTTATTTAAGAATCAATGCATAAAGAAGAACAAATAATATACTTTTAAGTATAAAATTTATATCAAACATAAGAAAGAATTATTTAAATACAAAATTTGTTTAAACAATTTACTTGTTTTTCATTTTTTTATTTGATATATTTTAATAGACCTATAATATATCATGAACTATCAAATTAAAACAATCTTATTGTATTCTACCTATAGTGTTGCATAGGTAACTCGACTAAAAAATTAACGTTCTTGGTAAATCTTAGGGAAAAAGAAGCCTCTCATTGAACCTAGTTTTGAAACAAACCTCATGTACGTTAATAACAAACATTAAATGTTTTATATGTATTGAAATAAAGCTATATCAATGAAACTAAATAATGGTAGCATAAATATTATAAAAAAATATTATATTTAATTTATTACAACCAACTACGTAGTTTCTAATACATCAAAATATTAAAAACAAAAAAAAACCTATAATATCTTGAATAAATGAATTAATATATATAAAAAACGTATGTAAAAATTATCTTGTGTGCCTAGAATAATTGCTAGAAGGGTGTTCGAATATTCTATACACTTAGGATAATTTTCTATTGCTCTATGAATATTTTATAGGCTTTTTTATACATGAATAATACTTTTTATGTAAAATAATTGCTTTGAGTTTTTTTAAAGCTGTATGAAAATTATTATATGAGCATAAAAAAATTGCTAGAGGTGTGTAAGAATATTTCATGCACTTAAGTGAATTTTTCAGTGCTTGGTGAATATTTTTTGTATGAATAAGTGCATTTTTATGCAAAATAATTATTTTGAGTGCTTAAATGTGTGTATAAAAATTATGTCATTGATGAATAAATTACTAGATGAAGTGTTTCAATTTATTATAAAAATAAATTATTTTTCGAAAGTGTGAAGAATTAATTATATGCATAGGGAACTAATTGCATAAAATTAGGAATTCAATTGTATAAAATTAAAAGCTTTAGTTCTTAAATAAGTTTTGAAATAAATTTAAGGAGGCATAAGGATGTTAGAAAAGGCCTTATGGAAGGACCAAAATAAGTTGATTAAAATTGGAAGGACTAAAAGTAGGGATGTAATTAAAAAATATGATAAATTAAGGGACTAAAATTGATATTTTTGGCCAAATCTTTCCACCTAAACCCGCCACCTCTAACCCTTAATTAATGACTTTCACAAATGAATGGCTAGAGATTTATGTATGATGGCTAGGATTTAAAGAAGGATGGATGGCTAAGATTAAATAAAATGAAGGGCTAGGATTAAAACATAAATCATGGGTGGAGATTAAACCAAATGAAGGGTGAAGATAAGTCAAACAAGAAAAAAGTCTATCCAAGTTCACCTATAAATTTGACTAAAAAGGAAGGAAGAAAATATAGGAAAATAGCAAAACCAAGGCAAACTCTTGCAAAATTTTCCTAGAAATTTTCAAGAGATTCCACCTAAACACCTAAAACCACCTTAAAACACTTAATTAAGCCCAAAATTTTAGTTGGAAGATCAAAATTCCCATGGAAGAAAAAATTGGAACTTGGTTGAAACTTAAGAAGGAAAAAGGAAAGAAAAATTTATAAGGAAATTCAATCTAACAAGGATTTGGAGCTTTTAAGGTAAATTAATCGACCTACATTACAAGAATTTGTTATTGTATAAGAATTGTTGATTTTGCATAATTAATTTAAGTTTAATTGCGTTAATTTAATGAAGTAGGGTTAGGGTTCTTAGTTAGGTTAAATTGGAGAAAATAAATTAGAAGGTTAAATTGATGCAATTGAAGTTGAAATATGTTAATTAGGCATGAAAACAAGAGAAACAAAATTTTCAAAGCCTAACTCTAAAGGGACCATTCGACCTAAATAGTAGAATTTATAGTTTTAGGTGCTTTTGTTTAATTGATGTTTAATGGCTTGAAACTATGTCATTGTAATGCAATTAGATGATTCAACATTATAATTGACCTTAAAATTGAAAAATAAATATAGTTTCAATTGGACCCTGTTCCACTTAAATAGTGAAATTAGGGTTTTAATGCGTTTGGTGTTTCCATGGTTAGCTAATTGTAATACATGTGTTTATAGTGTGCAATTATGTGTTTTGACATGTTTGCCTGTCTTATGTGGATGATGTGAATGAATGAGGTACATAAGTTTAATATCTTGCAATTGATAGATCTTGTCAAATGTGATGTGGTATGATATATCATGCTAAATGTTTCATTGTTCGGAATTATGATGAGTTAGAAGGTAATAATGTTTATGTGCATTTTTATATTATTGTGGTATGCAATTTTACTACATAAATATACATCATTCATGGCATGCATTCTAATGAATCATGAGGTTATGCATTTATATAAAAATGCATATGCATGCCAAAGTCATGGAAAGGTTCAAAATCATGAAAAGGATTATCTTCATGATTTTTCAAAGGCAAGGTAAAAGGTTTACATGGTTTTCATGATTCATGGCTTTCGTGGGTCGAGTATGTGCGGATGTGCACATTTAGACCCTCGACAAGACTGGATGTGTACAAATATATACATTCAAATGCTCGGTAGAAGATCGGGTATGTACGGACATGTACATTTAGACACTCAACAGGATGCCTCCAAAGACAAAAAAGATTTTTTAGAAAGACCACGGAAAAGATTTTATGGCATGGGAAAATATTTACGAAAAGACATGAAAATGATTTTCATGTGGATTTCACTTGCATACATTCATATCATGCATAATTAACTTAGTAGGCAATAGCTCATCCAATTTTTGTGATATAGGGGTGAACAATTTATAATGATGGTTATGTTTTTCTTGGAGCTTGTTACTGAGGGGACTCCATCATTTTGACGCATGTATCTTACATGCGACTGTAAGGTGGACCTACTCCATGTCATTGTACTATTAGTTCTCGGTATCTTGATATACGTTTTGGGTATAGCCTTTTTGTTTTATATGATAGTTAAAGTAACGAATAAATAGAAGGTTAATTAGGAAAAGAAAAATAGACTTTTAAATAAGTAAACTACTTTTTGTAGTTGGGTGGTATTAGATTGATGATTATGTAAAAAGGAAAAATAGGTTGTACGTCAATCAATTTTGGATATGTAAAATATGTAACAGTTTCATAATGTATAGTGTAATTTTTAGTAGCTTTTATTAGTTTATTTCATGCACACTACCATTTGGTAATAATGATACAAGTAGTCGAAGTATATGATTAAAAGATAATAATCAAATAGAGGGAAAATAAAATAGGCTACCGAAGAACGAGTAACAACTAAATAAATTTATTCGACTCATAGGAAAAGAATTTGACAAAACTAGGAAAATAAAATAGACTAAATAAAATTTAATATATTTTACCTTATAAAAATATTACTCGAGATCACATTTAACATATTTAACTTTGAAATTAAGATGATACTTTTACACGAGAAGGTTAAATTTATGTAACGAAATTTTCCTCCTAAAAATATTAATTAACATTTTAGAGATCGACAATATTTATTTGCTGTTCCTCCCCCTATTAACCAACATATTCTCAATCAGAACAAACTAAAAATCAAGACTGACAGCAGCTTCAGATCTCCAATGCCTTGCTTTCTCAAACCCATTAACACAATTCTCAAAATCATCAATTGTTTGATCAATCTCTTCTTGAGTGTTCATCACAAATGGCCCAAATTGCACTAGAGGTTCACCTAGTGGTTCACCTCCAACCAAAATGAACCTGAGGGGTTTTGACGACTTATTGCATGCCTCCAAGCTATCTCCCTTGCCCAGAAGAAGAAGGTGGTGAGCTGATGTTGGCAAAGATTTCGCATTCCCGAATATACCTTCACCTTCTAATACATATACGAACGCATTCCATGATGTCGGTATCAATTGTCGGAGGTTAGCTCCTGGTTTGAGAGTGAAATCCAAGTACATGGTAGGGGTCCTTGTGAAGATTGGTGATTTTGTCCCCAAGGCTTCACCTGCTATGACCCTAACCTTGACCCCATCTTTTGCAGCTTCTGCTATGTCCTTACTAGATATTTCTTGATACCTAGGCTCAATCCTGGAGTTAAAAGTACACCAATAAAGGTATGTCAAGGAAGCTTGAATATGATTGCATATGCATGCTCTAGAAAGGCAGAACATTACATATTGATTTTCAACTAATTTATGAAGCCATCGAGATATTTATTTATTTTTCAAACAAGAGAGCGTATAGCGTCACACGCATGATTAAAATTCTTTAGCTGAAACCAAAAGCAAAGGCTGGAAAAGCAACAAGCCCTAGCTACCGGATTCAGACAGGATATTGCAGAACAGAAATCGGTGCTGCATTCTAAAGCGCTTTCGGGAATGGTACACTATGACGAATATTGATCACAACGGTAAGTTGGGTCGATTTTAAGCACTGGACATACACTAACAGCCCATGTCCAGTAACATACAAATTTCCAAAGAGAAGAATCGAACTCTTGATCTCAATAATCAAAAGCAATTTTTCTTACCACTCTAATATAATTAAATAGATATGATATATATAATTTTTATGATCTAAGTCCAATCACGAGCTGAGTCCAATCATGATCTAAATTCATTAACATATTTATTAAATGAATCAAATATGAAATCTATTTCGATTCAATCCGAAAATAATTTGATTCAAAATTAAAATTAATATTATTTTTAATATAGTTTAAAAAATAAAATATATATATATATATATATATATATATATATATATATATATATATATATTACACAAGATCTAAATTTAGAATCCATTTACTCTAAATGCTAAGTCGAGTTGTAGACATTTTTTACCCTTTTTTTTTTTATTCTCGTCGAAAAATCTTTTTTCAAACGATGACATGATTGAGTTGTTAAATATGGAAATAATTTTTTTTTCATAATTTTTCAAAGCTCAAATTACTTTTGTGAAAAGTCATACAAACACATGAAAATAAATTAATTAATGAGTTGTTGTTAAATAACATCTTGATCAAATCTAAATTTTTTTTTATCCATTTCAAGCTTATTCTTTCTAAAACAATAGGATTCATGCCAACCAATTTTTGTCTAGAACATATACTTTTATTATTTTTCTTTAACTTTGTAGTATTTCTTACCTAATCTAAATTAATTTTTACTTTTAATTTAAACTTAAATTAGGATTATTTGATTTTGATCTTTTAATGGTGACATTTTGATTTCTTTTTTAAATTGACATATTTAATATTATTATTATAATATATATTTTTTGAACAAGTAGTAGTTGACACTCATTTTATATCAAAGTATGATTTTGAATGTAGGCCACATTTATTTTTTGAAAAATCTAATTTGAATTTATAAAATTTTATTGGATTAGATTACTATATAAATTGGATCCATATATATTATAATATAATCCGAAATCGATCCATTGAAAACCATTGACATTAACATACTCTTGCTCCAAATATTTGACTAGCTTCTGCATTAATCAGTACAATTGCTTTTTGAATTATATAATGGATTACCTAAAATATGCAAAAATGTCTACTTACATTTTATGTTTCGAAGAGAGGTTGATCCACAACTGCAGACCCTTTTGGGTTCCCTGTGCTGCAGGCATCTCTGAATGAACAATCCCTCGTCCTGCCGTCATCCACTGCAAGTCGCCGGCTCCTATTGTCCCCTTATGCCCTTCAAAATCTTCATGCTTGAAAGCTCCCTGATTGAGCATTTGCATTCGACTAAGGTAACTGCATATCACTTTTCTAATCTATTCAATGCATGACGGCAAGTTTCCTTTGTCTCATTATGATGCAAGTTTATGTGATTTTCACCAAGAAATTACAACTTGCTTTGGCTGGGTAAACCTGGACCATCCCTGATTTCCACAGTGTTTAAAACGTTTGCTACCTTGAATTATTGAGTCATACCAGCGACTTTACTTTCTAATCAAACAATTAATCAGTTGGAAAATTTAATGAAAATATATTTCATAACCCACACCCACAGCTAGTAAAACATGATAACTGTTTGATTTTTTTTTTTTTTTCCATTTTTCCTTTTAAGAGCTAATAAAGTTCCATCTCGAGGTTGACTGCCAAAAATTTTGTACCCAGAAAGTGAAGTTAATTATACCAAACCATTTTTTTTTTTTTACAGTAGATAAATTTCTATACCTGCAACATGTAGGTAACTGTCTCGAAACCTGTAAAGAATAGAGAGAGAGAATAATAAGAATCAAATAGCGGACTAAACTCAATTTCTCAGGCATTGATGCAGAATAGAGAGTCTTAGTGACTAAGACCAAGACCACATGAACAGTCCAAATTACCTCTATGAGGATGATCAGGAAATCCGGCCGGGGCAGTAACTGCAAAGTTAAAGCAACCAGAAAGATAGAACGGTGTGAGTCTAAACCCTGTAAAACAGATGAAAGTAAACAGAGAAAAGCAGAGTAAAACAGAGCACTCACCAGAGAACTCATCCAAGACAAGGAAAGGATCAAAGTATTTCAGCTCAAACCTATAAATGAAGAGGGAAAAAGAAAAAAGCAGAAGCAAAACTATAATCCCATTAATCCAAACGGTTAAATATACTTTGGTTATTTTAAAAAAATTAATTTCAATAGAAAAATTAAAAACCTGCATGTTTTGATTGTTTTATCTATCTCACCTTCCTATGCTCCTTCGAACAACAGCTCCCACACCCTCACGTTGAGGCCTAGCCAAGAATTTCCTCACTGCAAGGCATGGTTCTTTAAGAACATTAACAGATGTGTCTTTTTCAGGCATTTGTTCTTTCTTTTCTTTCCTTTCTTCCCTTGTATTAAAAAAGAAAAAATAAATATTAAGTATTCCAAATGACTAAATTGTGCAAAAGTGAGTAACAAGGCAAGATATTTGAGGGTATATATAGATTCAAACGTTTAGAGAGAGAGAGAGAGAGAGTGTGTTGAGAGGGACAGAAATGCAAGTTTGGCAAACGAATAGAAAAAAGGTACAAGTTTCTTAGGTTTTGGAAGGTCAAAGTCAAGCGCTGGCGGCCAATGAGGCCCACGTTAATTAGATGAGAGTTTCCTTGAGCTCAGGGACCTTTCTGTATTTGGTCATCACGTCAGCTTAGCGTTGGGATGATGATCTGTTTTGGATTAATAAGCTCAATCGTCCCTATATTTTTGTAATTTTCTTAATGTGGTTTTCTATCAGCTGATATTTCTTAAAAAGTCATTCAATCCAAATCTAAATTTTAAATGTTGCTTTCCTTTTCTCTTCCAATCTATGATTAAATTGGTCTAATTGTCTATCCATACTACAACTCAACTATACAATTATGATAAATAATGATATTGCCATTTTGATGACAAAATAATGCAATTTTATAATTGAGTTATATCATGGATAGACAATTCAAATTAATTTAATCTTGAATTAGATGGGGTAAAGTGAGTAACGGATCTCATTTGTCAGATTAATTCAGCATTTAAAATCTAGGATTGGACGAAAGAACTTATTTAAGTTGCAAAGAACAAGTTGAAGGGTAACATTAAGAAAATTATAAATATAGAGGGACTTATTAAAAGCTTATTAACCCTTTGAAACTTTGGATCATGGTACTCGACATGAACAGAATTCTCTGTAATCTCTCTTATTGCATAAAACTATCACATTATTTTTACATTAATTTTTATCTTTTCGATTATTTTATTTCAGTCATAACATTTGCATTTTTCTCCCGCTCTCTCATTCTACAATAACTTTTCACCTAATATCTTATTAAAAAAAATAATAATAATGAACCATTGGTGTAGTTGGATCATTCATAATTATTCTTTAGTTAATTCTTCTTCTGAAATAGCATTGCTCATAATTATTCTTTTGTTAATTCTTCTTCTGAAATAGCATTGCTCGTGTCTTGGGTAGCCCTTGTTCAGAATAACCAAGAGTTATGAGAAAAAGGGTTTTGTGGTAGTGCTATGGCTGCCATTCAGCCTCGAGAGTATATTAGGGTACAAAGCCTAGGGGGATCATATCAGACATACGTCAGTATGACGTGGTGTGTGACCCATGCATATTTTTCTTTCTCGACTCAAAAAGTATAATTATTAGTCCACATATGTGATCATAGGATATTCTCTTCCATCCGGGAAGCTTCAATTTCAATGTTCTACGGTTCAACAAGAATCCAGCTGGTACAAATTATGGGTCAAGTCTCAACCCCGGGGGTAAGTTTAATATGAAATTGAATAGTGTTTAGATCTACAAAGTAAAATATGAGGTGGTAGGTATATTTGTTTTCACTGTTTTTTTTTTAAAAAAAAGTTTTTTATTTTTTCTAATTCAGATTCTTCAACCATGCAGAGTTGGGTATATTTGTTCTCACTGATCAAGAACGTAAAGTTTATTTTATTAATTCAAATATCTCATAATCCATCATAGATTTAGATAATTAAGATTGAAATCTCATAATTCATCATCAAGTTAGATAGTTAAAATTAGATTCTATTTAAAAAATTTAAACCTTATGACGAGTGGTCTCTTCTCAATTTTATATATGAATTATTATTGATTTAATTATTCAATGTAAAATATATGTTGTAATACTCTTTCTCACTTGCGGTCTATCTTTTGTGATCTGTAAAGTAGTTTGAGTTTCAAAATTTTTATTGAGTCTTTTTAAGGCTCTAATACTATTTAGAATTAGATAGTTGAAACTTGTTTCATCCAAAAGATTTAAATCTTATGATAGATAATTTCTTCTCAACTTTATATATTAATTATCTTTAATTTAAATATTTAATATGAGATATGTGTTATAATACTCACCCATACGAAATATGAGGGATCACAATCTTCTCTCTTTATATATATAATCTTTTTTTCTCACCCCAATCAAAGTCCAAGATCAAGCATAATCGGTGCAGGTAGTTCTCATATTGATTAGAATTCATTGTCGGGGAAGAGCTTAGTGTGTGTTGTTTCTAGCACATAAAATAATAATAAAAATAAAAATTCATTCGGTAAATAAATAAATTCATTCACTGTAAATTAAAATGGATTAAAAAAATGAAACTTTTTATTTTGATTATTAAAGAAAATCAGATATTGAAATTATGTTATCATGTGTCATGGTATTAAAATAATCGAACTATCCAAATAGTTTTACCAAACTTTTGAAGTGATTATCTCGAAACATAATCAGATTGTTTTTTTCAAATGATATATGTCATGTATAGAAAATTATGATACAACAAATCAAATGTATGTTGCACATTATTTTAAAGATGTAATAACATCATTCACATTGATGTGTCTTAACTAGTTTGAATTACTTGTAAAACTTAAAACTCAAAATAAAATAGCGTTACTTTTATCCAAAAAAAATAAAATTATATGGCTCTCGGTGGAAGTATAATAAAAACAAATAAAAAATGAAAGGCTATTTTCAAGAACATTTGTATATTTTTTACTCTTTTTAGACAAGAAGAACCTGAGATAAGGTGCACATTAAAGTTTAGAACATAAAACATAAGCTGGTCCTCTTATTTATTTATTTATTTATTTTTTAATCTGTGTCCAAAACAAAGTTCTATTTATGTAGCATCAAGAGAAAATGGCATTTTAAAGGCCATAATTATCATTTAAATAAAAATAATAATAAATGGCTAAAGCAATGATTTACCATTTTTTTATTATTATGAAAAATAGTTGTTTCTAAACGTTTCTAACCATTATAATAAATAATCGTTTTTAACCTTTTTGACCATTATGAAAAATAATAATTTCTTACTATTATGAAAATAAAGGATTAAAGATTTTTTTATTAATAACTAATAAATTTTTTAATATTTTCTTAAAAAAATTCCAACGGAGTGCAAGTAAACAAATTCTTGACCTACAAATGCAATACCAAATTGGGCTTATTTTTCCTCATTGTTCAAAAGGAATTTTTTATTGCACATATGGATCTATTAGCAATTTTTTTTTCTGATTTAAATTTCTCAAAATTCATCGATGTGAGATATGGGACATCACGTATATACCACCACAAGATTCTTGGTTTCTTAATCCTAAGAGTAGATCAGATGGTAAATAAGGTTTCTTCCTTCCACTTATTTTCCAAATATGAATTTTAAAAGCAATTTTTAATTTATTCCCTTATACACATTACATCGATGTGAAAGGTTCAATGTTTAAAATAGTTGAAGAAAAAATTTAATTTCTGTTAATTTATAAGTCGGTTTGAAGTTACTCCAATACTACAAGAAAATAAGCAATTAACGACGATTAAATTCCATCACAATTTAACTATTGAATAACAAATGATTAGCGATAAAATTGAAAATATATCATTTAGCAAAGAATTAGCAATGGAAATATAGCGACATAGAAACCATTCCGTCGCTATAAAGCATGACAAAAATCCAAGCCAAATTGAATGACGAAATTGCGACGGGTTAGTGAGGAAATTTAGCGACAAAATAAAAATTCTATCATTAAAAGCATCATTAGCGAAGCGATGGAAATTATCCATCGTTAACCATTGCTAATCAGCAACATATGTTATTTTGGAAGTAATGACGTAAATTTCAAGAAACTTTTGGACAAAATTGGTGGTGGGTTAAAATTCAAATTAGCGACAAAAACGACTATTTTCTCGCTAATTAATGATAGATTAGCAATGAAAACACATTCGTCGCTATTTGCACAAATTTCTAATTCTTTTTGGACAATTCAAGTGGTCGTTTGAAATTCAAATTACCTACGGACACCTATTTTCGTTGCTAATTAGTGATGGATTAGCGATGAAAATGTGTACTGTCTCTAATCATAAGACCCTTTATGTTCTAGACCCTTTCTTTGCCTCCCTAATTTCCCCTCTTTCCCTTTCCTACTCCTCTATTGCTGCCACCCCTAATAGCCTCTAAGCATTGCCCCATGCCACCCCACTCCCTTTTCGATCCGCTCTATCTAGCGAAGCGCATCTTTCTCCCTAAAATCTATCGACGGTTCTCCTCTCCCTCCTCTCCGTTGGTAATTTGTTCTCTCTCTCTCTCTAGATCTTTTGTTATTAGATTAATTTGGTTAGTTATTAGGTTAATTTTTTTAATTGTTAGCTTGTTAATTGTTAGTTTAATTTTGTTAATTATTAGTGTTAAATTAAATTTTAATTAAGTAGTTTTTGGGCTAATTTAGATAAATTGGTTGACTAATTTTTAAGTTCATTTTTTATTAATGGGTAGGTTAAATTTTTGTTAATTAATTGTTAATTTTTTTTGTTATGTTTTTTTTTATTGTTTTTGTTAGTTGTTAGGTTAATATTGTTAATTTGTTTGATGCTATTTTAAAATTTAATTAACATTTCATTTAGGATTAATATAATTAGTTAGGATTAATTTAATTAAGTTAATATGATTTAGGATTAATTTGATTATGGTTATTTGAATTGATTGATTGATTTTTAATAATAATTATAGTCTAATTGGTTAATTAATTGATATTTAAAAATTAATTGGGTTTGAATTAGGATTAATTTAAATATGGTTAATTTTATTAGGTTTAGTTGAATTTATTATTAAATTAATTAGTTAAATTTTGATTATAATATTGTAACTTTTTAATTAATATTGATATTTAAAATTTAATAAATGTTTGAATTAGAATTAATTTTATTAGGTTTAGCTGAATTTATTATTAAATAAATTAATTAAATTTTGATTATATTATTGTAATTTGTTGATTACTATCAATATTTAAGATTCAATAAATTTTTGAATTAGAATTAATTTTATTAG